GCTCACAGTACGATCGAGGAGTTTGCATTGGAATTGACGAGTTCACTCGAGATAATAATTTCATGAAATGAATTCAATTTTCAATTAGTTGTGTAATCAGTCCCCATAAGTGATGCGCCCTGACTAAATATGATTATTGTCTTAAATAAGTGTTGCTAATTGCTAGGAGTCATTGGTAATGGTTTCCCCATCCATGACCTAACCTTATTATTGTGAGAAGTAAGAATTGTTTTTTTTTTCTAGAGGTTCGCCTGTACACTTGGTACTGGCATGGGACATCACCACCTTGGCCACTGATGGCATACCTTGCCCTCTTGATTCAGGAACTTTAAATACCTCCAACCTCATTTTCACCTAATGTTGTGGCTGTTTGACCTTTGCTTCTTTCTACCTTATTTCTTCCTATTTACCATCTTATGTAAGAATATAAACCCAATGTTTGTCTTCATTGAAAGGAGTATATAGCTTTTCGCTGCTGTTCATCTGATTGTAGGGTGAAGATAGCCTCTTCATGTGATATCCTAAACTTCACCTACCTTGAATGCCTCCTCCATTGCGAGGATAATGTATATAGAGCTCCTGGCGGTGATTTGGTCGACGATGGCGTTGTCATCGTCCGGAAGGAGGTTCGCTTGAAGTCATTTGCCTTTAATCTTATTAGGGCCATTGTTTAAAATTTCACAAAAGGAGGCTTGCCTCAAGACCCACCTTAGCTCAATTAAAAAGAAAATGTCATGAGGTGAGTGCCTCAGCTTGGCCTGATGAGGTGCATCTCAGTGGGTTTGAGGTGTTCCTTTGTGTAATTTCTAAGCACAAGCCTAAAAAATGAGGGTTTTTGTGATTTAAAAATTTTGACTTATAAATTTAATTTATAAAAGAATTTCATTTTGTTATTTCTCTTCACCTATACTAAAAATAAATATAATCGAGAATCAAAATTGCACTCACCTTCTCAACTCCCAATCATATGTTGCACTTGCACAATGGTACTTGCACTCAATTTCACAACTGCAATTGATGATGAGGGAGAAGAGAAAGCGACTCACTATAATGATGATTCTTATGATGATCCACTAAGTGATGAGAGTAGGGATGATTTTTGAATTCATAAATTATAATCTTATTGACTTAGAAAACTTGTTTATGTTGAATTAAAAGAGGGAGAAACTTATTTCTATGATCTTATTTGATATTTTAATTTGATGTTAATATGTTATGTAATATTTCATATTTTATTAATTTAATGATTTAATGTTGAGGTTTATGTCTTAAAACTCTTGAGGCTTACTTTTCGCCAAAAAAACAAAGAACGCCTTTAAACTTGATTGCACAATTCCAAACCTTGATTAGTGCTTCAAATTTGGCTCTTACTAGAGCTCATTGTCAAACAAAAACCCCGATTTGTTTTGTATTTTTATTGTTAAGCTAAGTTTGGCATACCCACAAAAGAGTAATGCTTATTTGGATTGCCAAAGTTTAAACTTTACATCCAATCCAATATGAAAAATATTTTTCCTGTATTTAGTTTATGGTAATCAAACAACTTACAACTCTGACTAATTAGAGTACAATACATTTATTTTACATCTTGAATGCATGACAATCCCCAAGGTTTTTAGATTGCTTTAATATGTTTGTAACTTCTTTTCATGTTTTCCTCATTTTATTTTTTCCTTTTTTGTTCTTTTGTAGAGTTATTGGTTTTCAATATGATGCTCTTATGAAATTAATTAGATTTAATTGAGTGGATAATAGGTTACTACATCTTCAATCATCGAGTAGCTTCTTTAACTTTGGTTCTGTCATGGTTCAGAAGGGAGTCGGCTAGGAATTCTTTTCCTGCTAGCTGTATGCATATTAGCTTTGATTATAGCTATTAATTTCTGAGGTTACGATGCCAAAGATCAGCAAAGAACTTTTGGATCATGTTGAGAGGCCTTCTCTACTAGGTACATTATTTCAATCGTTGTCAATTTTTACTTAGACTATTAAAGTTAGGAATCATAAGTATTTATTTGAATCAATACAAAAAATGTTTCAGATGGCCTTCTTCTTAGCCGCAAGAATCTCACACCTCAAACCTTAGAAAGTAAGCACCAGACCTATGTGAACTTAAAAGAAAGGCCATCATTTACTCCGCTTCCTAAGAGCCAAGGTGATTACCCTTCATTGTGTGTGCTTTCTCTCCCTTTCTCATTGTATGCACTTTTTTGCAAGATTGAATAAAATGCCATATTGCGCTTATGATATGTACATTAATGGAACACATCAGTTTTTTTTGTTGATTTTAAGCGCAATATTTAGTGGATAACATATGCTTTTTAATATTTTTCCCATCAACTTAATTTGTTTGCTTTCAAATTTTCATTTGTGCAAAGGAGTTTCAAGGTAAGAGGTAGGGTGGTAGTGTTGTTAGAGATGAACTTTCCTGGCAACTGTTAACTGTGCTTTCCCTTGAGTCACTTTTCTCATCCTTGAGTCACTTTTCTCAAATGTTAAAATGACCTATCATTATGTGGTGTTTTAAACATTTTTTAGACAACAAAAATGAAATTCACTGGATCATAATCAATATATCATCATTTGTCTTATCCCAACAATCTATGCCAACTTTTTGTATTGCATATTTTCATTCATTCTTGTTGAGTAGCACATTAGATGTCAATCTTGTTCAAACAATCTCTGTTGCTTCATGGTACTTAGGGTTATAATGCAAATAGATAATGCAATGTTTGAAAATGCAAATTGGATGAGAAATTCCTTTTTCAAAAGGCGATTATATTAATTATTCCTAAATTTTAAGTAATCAAGCAGAATAGAATGAATCTATACTCAATATGATAATTTATTGATTCAACAAAATCAAGCCTTTATCCCATTACGGTGGGTTGGTTGCATGAATCATTTTTTCTCCAGTGTCTTGTGAAGAGTCAAATTCTCATTTAAATCTAATAAGAATATATCATTTCTAATATTTTCTAACATAGGGTGGATCTCATGTAGCCGACCCCATAAGCCTAGGCAAAGCATTATGTAGCTCATTTGTAATTTGTATATAATAAATTATATTTTGGTGTCATCAATGATCTACAACAACGAATAAGGACTTTATCCTATTATGTGGAGTCAGTTTACTATGAATCATTTTTCTCTATTTGTGTTCATATTAAGAGTCAATCCATTTTAAATCTAATCGAAAAAGATTTTTTTTTATATAATTTCTAACCAAGTCTTTTTTAGGTTTCACCTCTGCCTTCATTATATTAGGCCTAATCTAATACATCTATTTTTTCTAACAAGTTCATCTGAGGCCGACATTTTGAATGACCAAACCATATAAGACAACTCTCAATCTTAATCTGCCACTGGATGCTAACCTTTTAATGCATATAATTGTTTTGTATTCTGTAAGTGTCAAGCCACTCATCCACCTAAGCATCCTCATCCTTGCAACACTTAACTTATTTTTATGCTTCACTTTTTATAACCAACATTCTACACCATAAAGTATTGTAGGTCTCACCACCATCTTATAAAAAATTCCCTTAAATTTGAGGGGTACTTTCCTATCACACAACAAGCCTGATGCATTCCTCCACTTCCACCATCCAACTTGAATTATACTATTGATATCCTCGTATATTTCACCATTGTTTTGAACAATATACCTAAAATATATAAAGCGTTCACTCTTTTTAATAACTTGATCACCCAATGTCACAATCTCACCATTAGATCTATCATTACTAAAATTATATTCTATATATTTAGTTTTAGATCTACTCATACGAAAACCTTTAAACTCTAAGATTAACCTCCATAATTCAAGTAATCCATAAGGTCCCTCTCTAGTCGTATTGAAAACAAGAATATCATCTGCAAAAAACATACTTTAAGGTATATCCTCTTGCAATTTTCTAGTAAGAAGATCCATGACTAAAGCAAAAAGATATGGGCTTAAAGTTGATCTTTGATGTAATCCAATTGAAATAGGAAAATACTTGGTCAAACCACCTTTTGTTTAAATACAAGTAACAAATCCTACATACATATCCTTAATGATTTGAATTTCAGCATTATTAACTATACCAATTCTAGAACTCTCCAAAGCACTTCTTTTGGAAATTTATCATATTGTTTTTCTAAATCAATAAATATCATACATAGATCTTCCTTATTCCCTCTATACTTCTCTATCAACTTCTCAATAAATGTATAGCTTCCATAGTAGTCCTATCCGACATTAATCCAAATTGATTTTGAGAAACATTAGTATCATGTTGTAATCTATGCTCAATAACTCTCACCAGTAGTTTTAACGTATGACACATTCTTAATTCCTCTATAATTTGCACACTATTGTGCATTACCTTTATTCTTAAAAATAAGAATCAACACACTCTTTCTTTACTCATATGACATCTTTTTAGTCTTCAAATTATATTAAAAAACTTCATAAACCAAGAAATTCCTTCATCTCCTAAGCATTCCATACCTCTATTGAAATATTATTAGGTCCAACAGCTTTTGCTTGCTTTATTTTCATTTAAGCCTCTCTAACTTCAATTTTATTAATACGATGATAAAAATAAAAATCCTTATTTTCATTGAGGGTGCTAAGATCTTTATTGAAAAACTTATTGAAATATCTCATCTATCTTTGTCGAATATCCTCTTCTAATAAAAACACATTTTGATCTCATTTTTAATGCACTTTACCTGAAATAAAATTTTTACTTTTCCTATTTTTTTGCTTAACTAATTTATATAGTATTTTTTTACCCTCCTTAATATCTTATATAGTATATAATTCATTAAAAACTAAATCATTTGCATCGTATATTACTTTTTTTAGACTTCTTATGGGGTCCTTTATGCATTTCTCAATTTTTTCGAGCTTTTACATCTAAACTAACTTTTATAACAAAGTTTTTTATCTTTGATCTTTTTTTACACATTTTGATTTTACCGCCAACTATTTTTACTATTATAAGTTTTTCCTTTTGATACTTCAACTACATCCTTTGTAATATTTTTATTATCACTAGTTATTTTTTCCCTCATAACTTTAGTATTTTCATGCACAGTCAAAATCTTAAGATATTAAATTTTACTCTAAAAATATTTTTATTAGTGCTCTTTAAATGTCCCTATCTAATCCTAGGATAACATTTTATTTTATTTTTCATATTCCGCCCTTTTTTCAATAGCGATATTGGGTATATAAACTTTTACTTGGAATAAATTTACAATCTTTGCAATCTAAATGATCAATTTTTCTTATAAGAAAACAATCAATTTGAGTTTACTATGTCCATTCTTATAAGTGATGAGGTACTCCTCTCTTTTCTTAAATAAGATAGTAACACTTATAAAATCATAAGCTAGAGCAAAATTTTATATGGTCCTACCAACTTCATTAGTTTCTCTAAACTCATAGTCATTATGAATGCTTTTAAAATATTCTGTCACTCTACAAACATGTTCATTTAAATTTCCTTCATTAAAATTTTTTCTTCAAGAGATATCATATGTATTAATTTTTCTAAATCATTTAAAATTTTTAATTTTAAGCACATATCCAAACTTATTTGAGGAACATAAGCATTTATAATGCTTATAATATGAACATCAACAACAATCTTTAAAATTATAATTCTATTAATTTTTACAACATTATCCTTCAAACTCTTATCTAGAATCACACGTACACCATTTCTAAATACGACTCCTACATAAATGACAGTTTAAATCTTAAACTATCAATCTTTTTACCCTTATCTCCAACTCATTTAGTTTCATGAATATATAAAATATTTATCTTAATATAAATCATAATATCTATTAATTATATTAATTTGCATGTAAGAGAACCTATAGTTTAAGTTAGGGCTGTCAATTCAGGTCAACGGGTCGGGTTCGGGGCGAATCTGGAACTGACCCGACACTATTCGGGTCAACCTGAACCCGATCCGTTTTTAAAAACAGGTTAGGTTTTCGAACCCGACCCGACACGAATGACCCAGGGTTGACCCAAAATTACCAGTTTTCAGTTCAAATACGAGTTTTCGGGTCAATTTCGGGTTGCTGGGTCAACCCGAACTTGACCTGGTTTTTAAAATGGGTTGATTTGTTGAACCGAACCTGACCCGTTTCGGGTCCGGGTTGACCCTAACCCGGATTTTTCTGGGTCGGGTTCGGGTCGAGTTTCAGGTCGTGTCAAAAATTGACACCACTAGTTTAAGTTTCTATCATAATTCCAGTTTTATGGACTAGCGTTTTTGCTCACATCCATCCATGATGTGAGAATCCTTGCTTATTTAACGCAACACTTCGGTGCCGGTGCAGTGGCCCTTGCACACTTCTCACTGTATTTAAGCCATACATTGTGTCACTTTCAGGGAACGCCTTAGCATTAATAGAATGTATTAAATGATTCATCACGTCATTATTATTTGACAAGTTTTATTCTGGTTGTCAACTACATAACGCAACTTTTCATTTTTTTCATCTAAGGCTTGATTTAATAATGACAGTAATTGATAAGTTAATGATTGATTAAATAAAAAAAATCAATGAAATTAACCCATATAAAATCACCTGTGTATTAAGATTCACATTACAATTACAAAAATAGATTTGACAAAAATAAATTAGTAACAAATTATTGAGAATAAAAGAAAACATGAAACAAAAATCATAAATAGGGAAAATTCAGACTTCACACTATCACAAAAAGATGACATCCCTTTGAAATTAGTTGTCTCACACACATTGCACTCAAAAGGATTCTAAAAAGCCTCCTAGGTTGAACATAATCTTAAATTTAATTAATCAAGAAATCCCCTTCATTTTCCTTGGATTTTGTTTTGGCAACCATCTATTTTCCGATGGCCGGTTATCTCTTAATCAGTTCAAATGTAATATCGATCACAAGCATATCTCATCAAGGTAAATCTTAATAGGCCGAACAAATAAGCACCACTTGATAGTCCTCCCAAAATGGCTCGTTATAATCTTATGGCTTCTGCAAGGGTGACTATTATACACGCAGAGCCTGATTCAAGTGCACCCGCAACGGCTTCAAGCATCAGAGGCTAAAGGAATTGAAATCTACAAAGCTGTATGATCAAACAACCGCAAAAAAACATGAATAGGAGGCTACATATACTAGGAACCACTTTGGCTATTCCAAAACCCCTGCTACATAAACAAGGCTGCACAGACAGTTTTTTATCTTCTTTTTTTTTGCTTTTTCAATTGTTCTAATTATTCAATTGAAGTTGTCTCACCCATGAGATTTAAGTTGCAAATAGCATATATGAAGCCATCTCATATTTGATCATTCATGCGGCCTTATTGTGATTCCAAACTCTATTCATTAATAAACTACTGCTAATGCTATTTATTACTCCAACTGATATATCTTTAATCATTTCAATACATCTTGATACGAACAATTTCTCCATAATGACCATCATCTTATCAGTTATCATGAAATATGGTCATATGCCCAAATCCAAGAGCATATTCTGACTTATGTAGTTTATTTTTTATATAATATGAATTAATATTATTACGAAATTTTCATATTTGTTTTCCTTTGGATATTTCAAGTTAGAAATGTCTGCGAGGATGATTTTTTTCTGTGTCAATGAGAAAGTTCCACCAAAAGGTTAAAAAAATAATGTGTTGACATTATTTTTATTAGTGATTTTATTATCCAAGGCGTATGATCTCAATTGACATGTATTCCCAGCTCTTGGAAAAGTGAAGGAATTTCTTAAAGTCATGGCTAAAGCTAATCGAGACCTGGAGCTCAGGGCACAGGCATGAGTTGTAGCACTCAAATTAGTTTTTTTCAAGCTTTGTTGTCACTTTATCTTAAATGGTTTTTCATTGTTGTTTCAGGTGAACCCTTCTTCAAACTATGATGTTGAGGTGCTTAATGATGATGAAAAGGAGTATATTGAAATGGTATGCCATTCTCTCCATCAATAATTTGCCTTAAAAACATTATACAAACATCATCTAAAATTGGAATTCATTTGTTCTTCTCTGCTTGAAGGATTTGCTTTTGGGTGTTGCTGATCTTCATAGTGATGAAGCGGTCACTGCAGCAGAAGCATCAATGTCTGGCTTTCAGCCAGCAATTGCATCAGCTAGCAGCTATTCTTCTGACAGCGAAGATTCTTATCTTGACAGTGATGATAATGGCGGGGAAAACTATAATAGTAGCAATACAACATTCAAATATAACAGTAAGTCTACAAGACACCATACAGATATTAATGAATTATCATCGGAGGCTAAGCGAAACAAAAGACCTAAGGTTGTCATGCTCGACTAAAAGTGAGTTATTTTTACTTCATGGGATGTTATCTAAAGTCATGAAGTGTTGGTAGACTTTATCAATAATCTCATTTGTTTAGAAGCAGGATGGAGTTTGCTTTATTGAAGCTGCTTCTCTTGGTCGAGCGACAACCTTATGTTTTGCCATTGAATTATATGAGAGGGCTTTAGATCCCATAAAATTGGTTTAGGATTGCCATTGAAGGTGTACTATTTAAATCTTGCTATTTTTTTCCCTTAGAAGTAGTATTTTGTAGCTAAATTAAAAAATTATCCATAATGTTTTTTGGCTTTTAAATTCAGCTTTTGTGAGCTTTTCATTGGTGTATTTTTATTGAAGGTGTAGTCTCAAAATCTAATGGTGCACTTCCTAGTTTGTTCTTTAGAAGTAGCGTTTCAGAGCTAGTTTAGAATATAACCCCTAAAAGTTTTTTTTTCAATGTCATGAAATGTGTGTTGAGGATTTTCATTGAAGGTGTAATGTCTAAATCTATTCATACTTCGTTGTTTGTTCTTTAGAAGTAAACATTTCATAGCTGTCTCAGAATATTGTCCCAATTGTTTTATTTCAACGTCAAAAATGTATGTTGTGGACTACTATCAAAATTGTAAGATTGAAATCTAATGATACACTGCCTAATCTGTTCTTTAGAACGAAGCATTTCATAGTTCTTTTATAATATTGCTTCTACTATTTTTTCTTTTAAATTTAGCTCTACTAAGCTTATAGTTATATTTTCAATATTTCACTGTTCTCTCTATACAACCGATCACTGTGCAAACCCTTTTTTGAGAGCTAATTTATCCTAAAGAGTTTTTTTTTTTTTTGAATAATATTTGTGATAAGGGATGGAAGGTGGTCGTAGAGTGATGAGTGAAGAGGGAAGAGTGGATCTTGGTCATGTTGGAATAAATGGTAGAGGCTAAGTGAAATTTTTTGCTTGTAATTGGATATAATATTGCCATTAAATATGGAGAAAGAAATGCAATTATGAAAAAAAAATTGCAAGTTTCATTCATGATTTAAATAAATACAAATAATATATTATGGGTGAGTGTAAAGATAATGTTGTTATGAACTATTGAAAAAGAATGCGACCATAGTGGTTGAGGGATGAGCTAAGTGGACTTTGATCATAGTTAAATAGAAGTAGGAGGCCAAATCTAGACATGTAGGAAATTGGTTGGTGGTGAGTGGAGGTAACACTTTCATAAACTATAAAGAAAGAATGCAATGATGAAAAAAAATTGCATGTTTTGTTTATGATTGAAAT